CAGCAGAAACTCTCGAGAGCATTAGGATCAAAATCCTACCTGCGGTGGCAACACTTCACAGAGTAATTTTTTTTATCTGCAACTGAGCTGCTGTGGGTGGGGTTACCACATGGTGCCAAACTTAAAAACAAACTGAGTGCAAAACTAATGAAGTAGATCTAGGACTGGCAGCAACTGACTCACACAACCAGGTAGCAGAAACTAGAGCTGGAACCTAGTAAAAAAGAGAAAACAAGCTGGGATTTGGGCCAAATATGGAGCAGAAATGAATGGGACAAGTCAGCTAGACTGTGGTACAAATCAGGAAGGAGACAGGAATCCAGTGCTGGAAATGGAAGCTCTTGATAAGATGAGGTAAAAAGCACTAATACTGGCATTTCCAAATTGAAGAGCTTAAATTTGCAACCCTAACAATGACTGCATAAGTTTTAGATATATGTTTATTATAAGGAGGAAAGAATATGTGCAGCATCATGTCATGTAATTAAAATCAGAAAGGGTGCTTGGACAGGGAGGTGTATCTGCCCTCTGAATTATCTGCTCACCACAGGTCTGCTGATACATCAATGACTTGCTAAGATGGAGAACTGAAGCAGAGAAGGGCAATGCATCTTGTCCTAGACCACCATGAATGCCTTCAGCAGAAACAGAAATCAAGCTCAGATAACCTGGGTCTCAGACCTGAGGTTTAACCAAAAGGCACTCACTCTTCTTGCCTAGTGACAGCTCAGGATGGATTGGACAACCTCTCCTGCTCTGAAACACTGCAAAACAGCATGCCAGGGAGAATCACTGAGAAAGAGGTGGGGAGTGTCTCTGCATGGATGGGTAAAGAGGAAGAGGACCTGAAGAAATCTAAAATAATAGAAGCAGCAGCCTAACACATCTTTCTCTTCCTTCCTTGTCTCCTGTTAGCTGACAGACCCTCCCTGCTTCTGAAGGAATGCAGAGACTCCCTGTGTTATTCTGGCATCTCAAGGACCATCTCTCTGTAAGACTGCCTTGCAGAACAATTTCTGCCATAAGCAGAATTAGTCCTGCAGAACTTACACATAGCTCCTCTTCCCCTTAAGGGTCTAAAAACACTAAAAAGAACTACAGCATATTCCTCTGCACTGTGCATATGCAGGATTTACACAATAGACATTTCTATAATGGGGACTCATTATAATCAAGGCCGAATGTGCAGTCTGTCAATGACAAATTATGTCAGCGAAACAGCAAGTCCATCCTTGCCTCCTCCTACACAAACACATCTGGATAGAACTGTTATTGTGTCCTCCAGGTAGTCTGTCAGTGCTATCAGTGCTACAGAAAACTGTCGGATTTGGGGCTGTTTAGATGGTCTGGAAAAAGCCCAAAGATGGCCTTGGGTCGCCCACGTTCCAAAGGACGAGAAGAAACTTCAAATCTTTTCTCGGTCTCGGTGTTTATTAATTGCTTATCTAAAAGATTTTCTCTTGGCCTGACAGAGTTCTGCTCAGCAGTCAGCCATGGGCACACACTGAGAGCCCCTGGGGCGGTCACCTATCTTTATACTTGGAGTTACGTATACAATATTTATCATTTTTCTCCAATACCTTCTACCCTTATTAACCAGTGTTCCCCTAGTAAGGTCCAATCCCAGAGTGCCAACATCACCACAGAAGATGGAGGCCTAGAGGAAGAAGAAGAAGGAGAAGGGCACGCCCCAATTCCTCCATCTTACTTCTCTAGACCCCCCTGTACAGAAATCTTAAACCCTTTGTCTCACACTCCAATTAACTTATCCCTTCACCGTTCACCCCGGTGAAATCCTCCTATCCTCATACTGATGTCATCTCCCATGTGGGATCAAAGTCCAGCCACCAGACATTTCTGGCAACATTCCAGGACTCCCGAGCCCCCCAGGGGTGGTCTCGGTCACTCTGTCCCTCAGCCCTGAGAGGCTGAGATCCCACAGAAAACCACACAGGCCTAAGGAGTACCTCCCAGAAAACAGTGACTCTGAGATATGCAATTACATCACACCTCAGGCTACATGAGGCTACTTTTCATGATGCCAGTCAAGACTCTGCAATGACCTGAAGACTACCCAAACTTTGGACTAAACTTAGCAGTTCACTTGTGATAGCAAAGAATTTTTGACTGCAGTCTCCCTGCTTCGCTGAACTGACAAAGTTAGCTGTATCACACAGCTCAACCCCATCTGAGCCTCCCACTCTGACTGACAGAAATACCTGGAGACTCCCTGCATGACTGTCAATGGAAATGTTACAGTTTCATCTCATTATCAGTGTTCACAGTACGGAAAAGCCATTCTCGAAATTAACTTATGGGCGCATGAAGGAGCATCTCATTAAAGCTCAATATCTCAGCCATGATTCACTCTGTTTTGTTCCTTTTCATGCTGGCTGAAAGTACCAACTGCATGGGTAGGTAAAACTGTTGCCTTGAAAAGCTCTGAGGCTGGTTACTGCATGTGCTCCAAGGAAAAGGGAGTCATAACTGGATTACCTTTCTCTGTGAACAGTGTGGCATAGTTATATATTCCTTCCTTCATTCCTTCCTTCCTTCACTCCCCAAACCAAAGAGATCTCACGACACCAGTATCAGCCATGCTGGGCTGCATGCCAGGAGAATTAATGAAGTGGTGTAATAGCTCACATGGAGGTCTAGTGATTGGCAACACACTTAAAATGCATCTGCAAAGCAGGAGATCATAGCATTGCTGCTGTGTTCTGTTTATTACAGGCACATCTCTTCCGTTCCATTGATTTCCTTATTAGTGCATTTTAAGGCCACAATGTGGGGGCTGGATCTGCTTGAAGCATGCAGGTTTGAATTCCAGCACAGCTTATGGGAAGGAAGCCTCCCTTTGAGACTCCAGATACGGATAACAGAGCTCAGTGCTAACAAGAACAGGAACCCTACAGAGAGGTTCCCAAGGAGTATGAAAAATCCTACAAGGCAATTGAGGCTGGGTTGGTTTTTATACTTCCTGGGGTTTTTTTCTCATGGAAGGAAGGGGAACAATTTTCTCTAGAGGGTATGGAGGCTTTGTGGCAACTGCAGGAAGGACTGTATTTCCTGATCTAGAGGGGAAGTCTGAAAGAAGCTGCAAGCAGCAGATGGAAGCAGAATCACAGAATGGTTTGGATTGGAAGCGATCTTTAAAACTTAACTAATCCAATGCCCCTGCAATGAGCAGGGATATATTCAACTAGATCAAGTTTCTCAGAGCCTGATCCAACCAGACCATGAATGTTTCCAGGGATGGGGAATCTATAATCTCTCTGGGAAATCTGTTCAGTGTTTTACCACCCTCAACGTAAAAAACTTTTTCCTTGTATCCAATCCACATTGACCCTTTTTTTACCTTAAAACAATTTTCCCTTGTCCCATCACTACAGGTCCTGCCATAAAGTCTGTCCTCATCTTTTTTATAGTCCCTCTTTCAGTACTGAAAATTTGCAATAAGGTCTTCTGGAGCCTTTTCTCTCCAGACTGAATAATCCCAAGTCTATTAGTCTGTCCTCATGGGGAAGATGTTACAGCCCTCCAACCACCTTCATGGCCTCCTCTGGGCCCACTTGGACAGGTTCATATCCTTCTTATGCTATGGATCCCCAAATCTGGATGCAGTGCAGGTCTCAGCAGAGCAGAAGCACCCCTCCCTCTCCCTGCTGGCCATGCTGCTTTGGATGCAGCCCAGGACAGGTCTGGTTCTCTGGGCTGCAAGTGCACATTGCTGGGTCACATCCAGCCTTTCATCCACCAGCACCCCCAAGCCCCTCTCAGCAGCACTGCTCCTTTAATCCCTCAGCCTGCACTGATGATACTGAGTGTCTCCCTACCCAAGTGCAGGGCCTTGTAGTTGACCTTGGCATCACAGCTCCTTGCTTTTCATCTGCTTCTGCTAAGAACTCAGATCTTGATGGGCACAGGAGAGAACCGGTGGGTCTCGGTTTACTCACCAACCAGCATTCTATCACATCATGAACTTCAAATACTTTTGCTGTCCATTATTCATGACTTGGAAAGCAAAAGCTAGGACTGAGAGGTAGTGGCTGGGCTTTAGAGGGAACCACGATGGCTCCAAGACTACCTTGAACTGCCTTGCTCCAGAGAAGACACCAAAAAAAACATGAACTGTAACCAGCTGAGGATGGGCCTGGGCTGAAGTAATCAGAATCACACTACCAATGGCCAAGAGAAGTCAGTCTGCATGGGAGGAAGTGGAAATCTGCTGGTACTATCTGGTTTCTGTGCTTGCTGTTAAAACAAATTAAGACAGCTAAAAGCTGGTGTACTGGTGCCAGGCTGCAGCAGCTCAATGCAGCTGCTGCCCTTGCTACAGCTCAGTGCCACAGCCTCTGCACAGTCACCTTGGCACTGGGAATCGGGAGCATGGTCCGGTGGTGCCTGAAGGCAACTGAATTTGCATGGAAATGTCTTTAGACTGCCCCTGCAATATTCCTCCGGGCAGGCTTCTTTGTACCTGCATTCATGCCCTGCCTGTCACTGCAAAGGACCCTGCTTCCTCCCTGTCACTCCTGCATGGGAGCTGACAGAAGCAGTGTTGAACATGAATATGAACAGCTGCATGCAAGCAGACAGCCTACAGAGGACATGCAAATTCCATTTAATAACATTTTTCTACCCCTTAATATTTTTTCAAAGCCTCTTCTTAAAACAGTCAACCACTGCTTTCAGTTTCCAAAAATTATATGGCCAGTAAATGCAAACACACCAGCATATGCAGATGAAGCCAAACCTGAAAGCCTTGATTTTTATATCTGTATGTGACACCTGCAGTGACCTGCTTTGCACTGTAAAGCACTAAATCCCCCTGCTTTCAGCTTTCTTCTACACTACATGCACCATATAAATTTACTGTCTTGCTGGGAAACACCAGTGCAGTGTGTAGGACTGCAGATCTTTAGTGAAACCCTTTCTGTAGACAAGTTCTATGTCTGGAATGTGTCCCTCAGTCTTGTAATATGCTTTGAGACACTCACCCACAACTGGTTTCTAACAAGCTGTCCCCAACCTGCAGCGATGCCATCCCGAAGTCTGCTATCCGGATGTTGTTCTTTTCATCCAGCAGTAGGTTTTCTGGTTTTAAGTCCCTGTGGCTGTAAAGAAAGGGTCAAAAATGTAAATTAAATTATCCATAACAGCTTTTCCACTCCATGATTTGCTTTTTATCCAGAATGGTATCCAACCTGTTTTACTTTAATTAATTTAATTTGTTCTCCTGTCCCAGGCAGGGGAACACACATATGCAAGATCCAATCCCTGATGTATTCTAGATCACCCTAGATGCCCTCTCTTGGAAGACCTGCAGTGTCCTGACAGGAAAGGAATATCTTCAACTTCCAGTGAAACCAACACAACATGAGGGAGAAACTGAGGGAAATAGAAGGAGGAGAATTTCAGCCTGGATTTGGGGCTGGTATACTCTATCATATGTCAGCTCCTTAAGGTAGGAGGCAACACCATCAATTTATTCTGTCAACAAGAGGAAATAAACAAATGATAGAAAGAGTAAAAACCTTCTTGACGTAAATGCTACTGCAAAAATCTCCTATTAGGAGTTGTTTACACAGGCATAAGACTTTGAAATAATTTTGGGTAATTAGCTCTGAAGGAAAAATCCCTTCAACTCAGCAGTGCTTTTAAGTGAGAGTGTCAGCAGTGAGAAGGAGAGAGGATTCCTTCCTTTCCATCAGAGCTTGATTCTCTTATTACCTGTCAACATGACAAGAGCCAGGCAACCACAACCTTCATGATGGCAACTCCTGCTCCAAATCATATATTGACAAATTTATTAATTTCCACTGCTCACAGCCAAAACCACTGTGCACCCATGTCTGCATCTAAGTACTCAGGAGATTCTGTACAACTATAACATTCACTTGATTTTACATACAAAGACAAAAATCTTGCAGAAAATTTGTGATGAATGTGCCAGATTTTTTTTCTTTTTATTTGCAGTTCTTGGAAAGTCACAGAGATGAGAGAAGCATTTCAGACAGACCAAAGAAAAAGCTCTTTTATTGGTTTTGCTTATGAGTAGGCAAAATTACTCTGATAATATAAGGTCTAAATAGCAGCACCCAAACAGGCAGGACTGTCAGCTTCCGTGGATAGGTAGAACACAAATTGTGGGAAATGGACATCCAACAACACTGAGTGTCAGGCAAACAACACCCACGTGCAAAAACTTACAACTAAAAGCATTTCCTCTGACCAGAAACTGAACTCAGCAAAAGAACCAGGTGTCAGAATAGTCAAGTGACACCAATCAAGGAAGGCAGGCTTATCTTTGTGCCATTTCCTCTTCACTTTTTAAAACATTGCTCTAACACTCCTCATGCGTGCAAGTGTAATTCTACCCTTACAAAAATGTAAAGGTGGACAGTCTCTTCCCTCTCAGAGCAACATGAGCAGCATGTCAATGTATTGGAAATTAGATCCTCTGATCTGAAGAGAAGAGGAATGATTGGTTAGAGGCAACTTGTAAATAATGCAGGTAAATTCTATGTAAAACCAGAGCACATGGTAATAGGATACCTGGGGACTGTAACAATTATTTCCAAAGGAGACTCCCAGCAAAACAGCACACATTCAAAGCAGTTACTGGTCATTCATACCACTGAGACCTATGATTTGCTCTCTCCCGCTTTTTAAAATTTAGTCTCCAATCTTGCATAAATACGATGAACCCTTCGTGTTACAACAGCCTTGTTAACAATGAGGAAACAAGCTTGTGGATAATAATTGTGATTCAGATTTGTGCACATTTTCATCTGAAAATGCAAAAGGTGCTTTATCCAATCTGTACTTCTCATAGAAATTCAAGGTTTGAGATAACAGAGACAGAAGACTTATTAGCTCTATAATAACCATCAAGATAGTCATAACTAGTTGACAAAAAATGCAGGAGATGAGTGATAAGGAAAGGTTCCAAAGGCAGCGAATGACCAGTTAATGGCCAGGAAAAGAATCCCTGAATGTCATCATCAAGGACGGCAGCAGACAAAGGCAAGATCATCAACACCGGCCAAAGTTTAACATACTCCAGCTCCAGCAGTGAAATGGAGTGAAGAGCCCATGGTTCTAAGGCAAGTGAGGAAAGCTGGATGCTAATGAGACAGTAGTGTGTGATTTCATCCTTCCTCCAGCAGACATTCGGGACAGTTCTCATCTTACAACTGCTTTCATTAATGGTAAGACCTTATCCAGCTGGGGAGGTGTGCTGCAGTTCCCCTGTCTGAGGACAATGCTCAGGGGCAGGTAACAGCCCCTGTAAAATGAGTGCTGCTTGTTTGATGCTATGAAACAAGAAACCTCCCCACAGCTCAAGCTGAGTGTGTGTCCTGCTGCGCAGAGTTTTTCGGCAGCTATAGTTGTCTTTCAGTCTTGGCAAGTGCTCCTGGCTGACTGCTGAACACATACACGGTACAGAAGTTGAGGGTGCTGCTGCCTGTGCCTGTTCCACTGCTTGTGCACTGCATGATATGGTATGATTCATATATACAGTCTATAGCAGACATACTGCTGACATGTGACTTTTGTGCCTAAAAATTGAATCCTTTGCTTATCCTCAAATTGTGTGGCTCATTTAGAGAGCAGGAACAACCAAGATGGAGCATGACCTAAGCACAGGATGTCCACAAGCCTAGATGTACACTCAGAACAAAATGTCTTATTTCAGGAACGTGGTGCAGCTAAAGGAAATGCAAAAATGTTCCCTTTCCATGGCTGAGAGCTTCCAGCCTTGGCAGATCTGCCACAGGCCCCAGCTGGAGCACAATGTGTGTGAATCTTGAACAAGCCCCACTTCCCGACCACTAAGAGGCAGTGAAAGGGAAGGGACAACACCTTTGAAAATCGAGACAATATTCAATCCTGGAGTCTCCTTCTCCCTTCTTGTCTCCTCTCTCTTTCTCCCTGTGTCATCCTGTCTTCCCATCAGCTGGGATCCACAACACAGTTTAGGCCTGGGTTTTTAGGGAGAATCAAGTGGGGAAATGAGGTTCCTATAAGTTGGCATGTATATTATGGATTTTTTTGAGAGTCACTGCAAGAAAGAGAGGAAAAAGGGGGTACCACCATCCACATTCCAAACATGGAGTAAGCTTCACCTCACTGTGCTGCACAATGTTTTTCCATGAATGATCAGTCTGATGGAGGTCTCTAGGCAGAGGCACTGACCTAGCTCCCAGTGAGCATTTTGAAAACCTTAAGTTGGGATCTGGGGATCTGTGTGACTAGGATAGTATGCGTGAAAGTAAAACTGGAGTAGCAACAGACCTTAATAGTTTTCTTTTCTTTTCCTCCAGATACTCACCAAAATAAAATCAAGAAAACTTATCAGCTCTTCACAATAGAAATTATCACTTCACTGAGCAGAGAGGAGAATTGCTACATTTATGGCTGCCTGGCTCCCAAAAATAAAAGAGTAGTTTTGATAGCGCAGTTTTGCGTCTCTGACCCTTCTCCATCCCTTTTTCAAGACAGTCTCCAGTGCTCAGTATGGATGGTTAGCCTAGAAATTTCATGGCAGCCTGAGCATAAATTTTGTATTTTGGCAGCACTGCTTTCAGAGATCAGGGTGCCAGTGGGATCAGCAGTACTTGCACATTCATCCACAAGAGAATTACATGTCCCAGTGAAAATTTTCCTTTAGCTGGAGCATTTCTCTGACACCCATCTTTGGGCCACTTTGAATTGGCCAAGGCAGCATCCTGGGAATAGCAGTCAGGCCAGGAGCTTGTACCAGAGCAGCAGAACCAGCAACGCTGCCACTGGGAAAGAGACTTCCTCCCTGCATTTGCATTTCCCATATTTGTATTGCCAGCTTTTCAAGTGCCAGGGGGAAGGGAGAGAAACATATGGGAATAGGGAAGGCTTGTTATAATTTACCTAAGAGCCCAGAAGACCGGACTGTCAAATGCACTCGCATTTGAAAAAGAATTCTCTTGTGCCAAAATGAAACAAAACAAAACAAAACTCCCAATGTATCTGGTAATTACTTGGCATTAATGGAACAGTGCAGAGTAAATGCATTTAATCTGGTTCTATTCCAGCTGATCTCTCTGGCTCTCCATGTCTTACACGACTGCATCAACTCCTCTCTCTGCAGGTGAACAGAGGACTCATTACCCTTTCCTTGTTCTAAAGGCTCTAAAGCTGTAGGGGCTTTATCACATGGCTGGAAAACCAGAAGAGAAGAAAGCAGCTTCTTTTCTGACAAACACAGCAAACCCTCCAATTGAGCCTTGCATAAGCTGAAAAGGAATGAGAAAGAGAAATGCAGGACTGCAGAACAAGTCAGTGTAACCCTGACCCATAGTGGCCACGGACTCCCAGAGCTCCTCAGCCAAGAAGGCAGCCTCTGGAGCCAGCATCCTGTGGGCTATTGAAGGGAGAGCATGTGAGTGAAAGAGAGCCACGGAGCGAGCTGTGGCAGGGGAAGCACACGCTGTCAGACTCTCTGCAGCATCCCTCTTTCACAAGTTACAACAAAGGCTTTACAATTTCCTTGCAGCCTAAGATGGATGCAGAGAGAGCTCTGAAAAAATTGTTCCATGGAAATGAGCATCATTCTTGGAGAAGGTGCATAGAAAATGAAAGGCACAGATAGGCATGAACGTGTTCCAGCTTCCCACTTCCACACTGGCCAGGCTTGCTTGCTAGTCACAGCCAGAGAGGTTGTTCAGACAGGTCCTTTAGCTCGCTCCGGTGCTTTTCCAGTCCATCCTCCTGCTCTGAGAATATCCCTGTACCTGTACTGCAGCAACTGCAGGAGAAACACGCTCGGCCTGTCACCCAGGGCTGCCAGAAGAATTCTGGTGTAGGGACAGACTCTAGTTCTTGGATTCAAAGGAGCTGTCACCTGGCATGAGATGACAAACGGAGCCATTATTTTAAGGTGATGTTTGAGCTGAAACGTATCAGTTTCTATGACAACTCATTGTAGGTCACAGATTTCTAACCCAAGAAACCTCTTAATTGGAGTAGTTGCAGGTCATTTGTACTAATCAAATTGTTGGCTACTTTGCAAATGCTTTTCTTACTGACCTCAAACTCCCAGAAGGGCCAGGCCACAGAATAATTGTTCTGCAGG